CCCTGGGAGAGGCCTCCCAACTGGGTGACTGGGACCCTAGAGAGACCCCTCTCTCAAGTTGGGGTGCATTTTGGCGGCTCAGGGTGGAAACATCCCCCAGGGAGTTTAAGAGGCTAGGGTCAGATGCAGAAGCAGCCCCCTCCCGGACTCCAGGACTAGCTGATTCCCTCCTCTCCGGGGCCTCGCAGCCCCTCCTGCCTGCCTGGCTTCTGGCACCACCCAGGCCTTCAGACCCCTCTGTGCGAGCCAGTGTTCCCAGTGGAGCCGGGTCCTGTGCCAAAGATGGGGTGCAAATACCCACGGGCAGGGAGGAGGGGGTGGAGCTGTCTACATTCCCGTGACAGTCCACGAGGGCCACCTGGGTTCCTGCTGCAGGGGACAGCTGGGTGTCTGGGTGTCTGCTCCATTTTTGTCCTCTTCCTGTACTGAGCCCAACCCGGGAACAGAAGCCAGCTCTCTGATTTTATCCCGTGTCCACTGGGAGACGGTCATGCCCGTCTCTGGGCCGGCTCAGACAGCTTCCTCCGGGAAGCGAGCCAAGTTCCCATGGCTTGTCCTGGGGGGCTCAGTCGGCTGAGCGTCTGACTTCAGCTCAGGTCGTGATCTCACCGTTTGTGAGTTCGGGCCCGGCGTCGGGCTCTGTGCTGTCAGTGCAGAGCCTGCTTCAGATCCTCTGTTCCCTTCTCTCTGCACCTCCCCTGCTCGAGCTCGCTCTCTCTCTCAAAAATAAACTTAAAAAGAAAAGAAAAAGTGAAACAGCTAGCAAGGCAGAAAAAGGCCCCTGCCCGGATTTGTCCATTTGTCCATTTTTCAGCCTGATAGCAGGTGACATGGGGACCCACTGGACATCATTTCATGGCTCAAGACGATTGTCCCCAAGCGCGTGTTCCCCAGGTTTATGCCCCTGACGGCAGGCATGCTGAGTGGGTCAGCGGTCGGTGTCACCCCACCAGCTCCTGCTCCGTCACATAAAGGCCCCCTTGTTACCTCTGTGCAGACCTAGTCCCCATGAGGCCAGGTTTCCATGTCTCGTACCCGGTGAGCCTGAAGTCAGTGAGGGTCTGCTGGGCGTAGGAGTGAGTGGGTGATGGGGGAAGGGGATGACGGGAGCTTGTGGCCCGTCTCTTCTGTCCTTCTCATGGACGAAAAGAGCCAGGAGGGTCAGGCAGGGGGCCGGGGCTGGGGCTGGGGCCAGGGCACGGACCTTCCCAGGGCCCTGACCGCCGTGTGACTCTCCCCGACAGCTGGTCCCACGACACAGCTCCGGAGCTGAGGTTCCTTGTCTGCTGCATGCAGATCGTGATCAGCAGCTTTATGGGGCCACCCTGGCTCGGGCCTCCCCCTCCAGCCAGCCCCGAGCTCCCAGGCCCCGGAAGAGCTCAGGGAAGCAAACCCAGGCCTGTTTGAGGCTCCACGGGAGCTCAGGTGGGAGAGAATCCCGCCTACACGTGCTGGGCTCTCCACATCCCTGAGCTTGGGCTCTGAGCTCGGCACCGGGCAGGACCCGAGGAGATGGCTTCAGCTTTGGGGCCTGGCTGTGCCTGTCACCAAAAACGGCGCGTGTACTCAGCGAGGGCCTGTAGTTAAGGGGGGAGGTTCATCAGGGGCTTCAACATTTGGCCTGGGGCCTGGAGGACCAGGGCACCAGGAGGAGGTGGGGGTCTGGGGGCAGATCTAGGTTTGGCTATGGAGGTTGTATGGTGGCCCTGGGGGCCTCTGGGATGTCCCGTCAGAGGTCCCTGTCCTCCAAGACTCCGGGATGCGCTCCTGCAGCGTCCCCTCTGCACGTGCCCACCCCCACTCTGGCCTCAGGCAGCCCTCTGTCTGGGACAGGACTTTTAGGTCACCTGTTTGCCCTTCTGTCTGGTCTGGAGACCACAAAGGCGGGGAAGGGTCTGATTCCACAGGCTTGGCACAAAGGCGGCCTGTGACCCTCTCTGATATCATCATGATATTGGGGCGCCTGGGTGGTTCAGTCAGTTGAGCACCCGACTCTCGATTTCGGCTCAGGTCACGATCCGGGGTTCATGGAATCGAGTTGCGCATCGAGCTCTGCGCTGAGCATGGAGTCTGCTTAAAATTCTCTTTTTCTCCCTCCGCCCCTCCCATTCTCACACTTGCTCTCTCTCAAACTAATGTGTGTATTTATTTAATTATCTTTGTTCCTGATTCCCAGCACTGAGCTCCTAAGAGTCTTAGAAGTTTTTGAATGTTAGGGGAGACAAGAAGGTCCTTTGTTTTCAGACAAGCTTCTTTCAACCACACCTGAGCCCATGCTAATGAGGTGACTCTTGGGGGGGCCCTGGGTGGCTTCGGGATGGGGCTGGTCACCAGAGGCACCAGCCATGCGCTTAGATGGTTGGAACTTCCAGCCCCACCCCCACCCCGCGACAACCGCTGGCGAGGATCGAGGGGCTGCAAGTTGAGCCAGTGATTGAATCAACCATGCCTCCGTGATGGAGCCTCCAGAAAGACCCTAGTCGATGGGGTTCAGAGAGCTTCTTCTTCTTCTTCTTAACATTTATTTATGTTTGAGAGAAAGGGAGAGACAGAGCACGTGCAGGGGAGGGGCAGAGAGGAGGGAGAGCCAGAATTCAAAGCAGGATCCAGGCTCTGAGCTGTCAGCACAGAGCCCGACGCGGGGCTTGAACTCATGAACCACAAGATCATGACCTGAGCCAGAGTTGGACGCTTAACGGACTGAGCCACCCAGGCGCCCCTGTTCGGAGAGCTTCCGGGTTGGTAAACATGCTGGGAGAGTGGGGCACCCAGAGAGGGCATGCAAACCTCGCACCCCTCCCCCCATACCTCACGCTAGGCGGCTCTTCTATTTTGCTCTTCAGTTGTAGCCTTTATGACAATCCCGGAATAGCAAGTAAACAGTTTTCCTGAGTTCCGTGAGCCGGTCTAACAAATCAGCCAATCCGTGGATGGGGTCACAGGAGTCCCTGAGTTGTAGCCCAGTTGGAGAGAAATGTGGGTATCCCTGAACTCAGTACTTGTCAGCAGTGTCTGAAGCTGGAGGGGGCAGTCTTATGGGGCTGAGCCCTTTACCCGTCTATACTAACTTCAGGGAGTTAGTGTCAGAATGGAATTAAATCATAGTACACCCGGGCGCCTGGGTGACTCCGTCGGTTGAGCATCTGACTTCGGTTCAGGTCATGACGTCACAGTTCGCGCGTTTGAGCCCTGCTGTCGGTATAGAGCCTGCTTTGGAGCCTCTGTCTCCTTCTCTCTCTGCCCCTCCCCCGCTCTCTCTCTCTCTCTCTCTCTCTCTCTCAAAAATAAATAAACATTTAAGAAAAATAAATCATAGTAGAGAACAGAGAATTGGTTGGTGTCAGAAGTGCTGTGAGTAAAACAGATCACAGGAGTCCTCTGTTACCCATTTTTGGTCCTTCTCTGTCCCGCTCTGGTCCCAAGAGGGTGGCACATGGACCACATCACCCAGAGCCCCCTGCCCCGTTGTTTCTGGTTAGGTGTGGTCACGAGACACCAGCGCGAGGTCAGAAGGCAGGAGAAAGAGGGGTATTTACTCACCGGCTCCCTCTAGTGGTTGCGTCCTTCTATCTCCAGCCCCTCCTGGGCAGACCTGCACCCACGACTCCCTCTCACTGGCCCTGGAGATACCACTCCCCTCTTGTCAGCCCTTGAGGTACGGGAGTGATTATGTCCCCGTCATAAACACTGGGTCCGGGCCCTCTCCTGTTGGCTCCCTTAGCACGCTGACCACACCTTTGTAAACGCTCTCAATTGCCCTGCCAGACAGCATGCCATCTGTTTCCTGCCAGGCCTCACCATACAGGGCGTCGGTTTGTGCAGTAAGGGCCTTAGTCACCCAGTTCAACCCTCCCTTTTTACAAAAAGGGAAACTGAGGACCAGAGAGGGTAAGGGACGTGTCCAGGGTCACCCAGGCGCAGAGTTGGAGCTCATGGCTGCTCTGAAAAGGCTCTGGAGAGGTCAAGGCTGACCTAGGCAGGGGGCGGAAGCCTGTTTAACCCCCTTCCCACCCTCACCCCTCCCAGCCTGGAACGGGATGTGTCTGCACTGGCTATTAAATCAGGGCCATTTGCCCCTCCCAGAGACAGGCACCTGGGAACCCAGCCAGCGCCCTCCTTCCCTGCCCCCTGCCCCAAGGGGCATGTGGCAAGGGCCGCCCCTCGCCTCCCTGCCATCCCTCACCCCATCCTCAAGCCACCCAATCCTGCCCGCCCACCAGCCCCTAGTTGCTTCCAGGCCTTTGCATAGGCTGCTGCCTCGACCTGTGCCCCCTTCCCGTGTCACCTGGCACAGCACTGCTCCTTTTCCAAGGACACACCTGCCCAGCAAGCCTCTTGTGAAGCCTCATCTGGATCTGGCACCTGCATCCCCTCTAGTCCTCGAAGTGCTGGTGTCCCTCTACTCCCCCCCCCGCCCGGGGCGCGCCCCCCCCCCAGCACAGGGCAACTTGAGGGCAGAACCCTGCTCGGGTCATCTCCCGCCCGGCCCGGAGTGGGGCTGATGACAACAAATGCTGGGCGCCCTGGCCTAGGTTTGGGGCCAGAGCCAGCTCTGGACTGAGCCCAGGCTTCCCTAGGAGCCCTAGGGCCACATGCACTTTCTTCCCCCGATGCCCAGAGTGAGCACAGGGCGGGGTGTGAGGCTTAGAGGCCCTGAGCCCTCCAGCCGGGAGGCCAGGTCAGCTGGAGAGGGGGCCACCGGAAGGACACTGGGGGCTGGGACACCCAGGGCCAGACATGCAGGACAGGGTGAACACATTCATCTCATTGGTGGAGAGTAACCCGGGCCCGGTGAGGCCAGTGTAATCACCCTTGTTTTCCAGATAGGGACACAGAGGCCAGACGAGAGGCTGACCGGGACCCAGATGGCTCAGCTGGCCTGGGACCCTGGGCCTCACCTCCGGTGCTATATTTTCCTAAGAGCCCCCACTCCCACCCTGCTCAGGAGAGCTGGGGACAGGGGTCCAGGGAGACTCCCCAGGTGAACAACAACACAGATGTGCAGGGCTGCTGGGGACATTTATTTCTGACAGGGACAGGCCTAATTTTGGGCTAAGGACACTCTCCCCTCACCCTCACTTGGAAACACTCTCTTCCAGGGCTCCAGAAGCTTCCGGGCATGCTCCCAGCCCGGGATCTGCAGCCTGGACCAGGGAGGAGGCCAAGGGGCAGGTGCGGACCCCTCATGAGGCCCCCACGGCGGGGGGGTCAGTCACGTGGTGGGTGTTGTATCTTCTCACGCAAGTCGACTGCTCTGGGCCCGAAATGGGAGCGCTCCTGCAAGTGTCATGACTTTGGGGAGGGGAGAGAAGAAGTACTACAGCTACTGCCCATGGCTTGGAGCTCGAGGCATAGGAGCATTGGGGAAACTGAGGCTCCACTGGCCGGGCTGGATTAACCTAAGGGAACCGGGCTATCCCTCTAAACCTCACAAATCCAGCTGTGCCCTCCCAGCCCCCACACTCTCCTCTACTCCCCGTGCCCCAGGGTCTGCCCTGTCTCCCCTCATCAAGAGCCGCCACTGGCTCCCTCTGGCCTTCAGGACACAGCCCTTTTCCTCAGCTGGGAGTCATGACCCCCGCCCCCCACCCTTTGCTTGGCTGCCAGAAACCCTCCTGCCCCAGACCCTCGCCCCTCCCTCCTAGAACTGTTCCCCCCTTCCCCAAATCCCACCCAGAGACCAGGTTTCCCCTTTTCTCTAGGAAGCCCTGTGGGCACCCCTGTCCGCCAGGCCCCAGCATGCGAGTTCTGACTGAAGTTTTGAGGCAAAGCTCAGCGCTTCAGCTGAAAGCAATTCTCCGCCTCGGTGTCTCCCATCTGGAGTGTCTGCGGTGAGCCCCCTACTCGCAATTCCAGCTGTTGCCGCCAGGGGGCGAGGGGTGCCGCTCAGAGAGCGAGGACACGCCCACACCGGCAATTGGTCGGCAGAAAGGGACAAAGGAGGGAGGGGTTCATGCATACACACACACACACACACACACACACACACACACACACGCACACGCACACGCACACGAACACACACTCACAAGCCCTACTGGCTTCTGGGTAGAGAGGACGAGGAGGATAAGAGGTGGTCTGGGTCAGAGACCCCACCCTTCCCAGGGGGCCCAGACCCTGGCCACTTACCAGGTGTAGATAAGCAGAGCAGGGAGGGCAGTGAAAAGGACAGCCAGCAAGACCGACAAAATGGCAATGATGACCACGGTGCCCGCGCTTTGGGGTCCTGGGACAGCCTGTAGTGCCTTGGCTGAGAGGTGTGAGGGGGTCCCCCAGGCAGGTGGGGGGTTGGGGGGAAGAGAAGAGAGTTCTGACCCAGAAGGGGGACTTGGAACAGCCTCCAGACCAACTATCCCTGCCCCAGCTGGGGGAGGGGCACCTGCAGACAGCAGGATGGTAACGGTGGCTCTGATGGGGGGCTGGTCCATTCTCCCCAGCCCAGCCTGACCTCAGGAGCCCCCCAGGCCCCAGCCCCCCAGCCCCAGTGTTTGACCTGCTCGTTTGGCCCCGTACCTTGCTGCAGGCGGGTCTCGCTGGACCATTCTGTCTCAGCCACAGGTCCCCTGTCACTCATCACCAGGAACTTCACTCTGAGAAGGAGACCCAGGATTGGGGGTGGGGGTCCCCGGAACCTGAAACCCTCTGGCCCCGGCACCTGTCTGACCTCTTGACTCCCGGGTACTGGGAGGTTGGGGAATTGGGGACTGGGCCTGAAAGCCAGCCTTAGAACCCACCAGAAGGGGTTCCAATTCCAGCTGTGTAGCCTTGGGTGCATCCCTCACCCTCTCTGGGCCTCAACATCCTCACTTAGGAAATGTGTGTGGAATGCACTAGCTCCCCAGCACCCCACATCAGTGAATCAAGCCCTGAGTGAGGGGAGACAGGGCTGGGGACAGTTTGTGGATGGGAAAACACCCGCAGGGGTGAGATGGCCCATGGGGGGAGGGGCTCAAATGGGGGGCCCTCTGCCCAAGAAAGAAGGGAGAATTCACCAAGGCGTCCCTGGTCCCTGCCCCCTGCCCACCCCCACCCCCCCGCCCCCCAGCAGAAACCCAGGCACTCAGCTCGGAGCTGCCCCAGGCTCAGGTTTGGGCACAGGCAGGAGCTCACCGATAGGGGCCCGGGCCCGGCAGGGGGTGGTTACAGCCTCTGGTCTTAGGGGAGCAGCGGGTATCATTGCCAACGCGTAGGACCCGGAGCTGGTTGCCAGGCTGGTTGCCCGGGTAGAGCAACCGGTTGGCCATCAGCGTGAGATAGTAGCCCCTCTGGCTGAAGTCAGCCGGGACTGGGATGTCCTCCACCCTCTGTGGGGCAGCGAAGTTCTGGGTGGCTGAGGGTAGCCGCAGGTCAGATGGTGGGGGCCGCGAGGGCAGGGCCCCACCCCATCCCACCTGGCCAGACAGCCCTCACGCCTCATCCCCTGCAGACCAGCCTCCCCTCCCCCCACAGCCGCTGCTCCGCCCAGGCCTCCTGCCCATTTCACAGAGGGAACACCCAGGCCTGCCCCTGCAGCACCCACCGTTGCTGTGGGCCACCACCAGCCAGATGGTGTCCAAGTCGGAGATGTTGAGGCGACCGAACTGGCCCCTTGGCTGCTCCAGCGTGAAGGTAGACTGGGTGAGTGTCCCTGCCAGGGTGGGGCTGGAGAGCTGGGGCACGTAGCTGATGCGCTCTGGGGCGGGTGGGGGGGGGGGGGGACAGACAGAAGGGCTCAACAGGACAACCAAGCCCCCACAGCCCAGTCTGAAGTGGGAGTCATGGTCCTGGAAGCCCCAGTCTGAAGGGGGAGGCACAGACTTGATCTGGGGACCCCAATCTGAGGGAGGAGTGGAGGCTCTTCCTGGAAGCTCCAGTCAGGCATTAATCAGGAGGGTCTGCCCGTGGGGCATGGGCCGGTGACTGAGTCCGGCCCTGCCTCCTGCCTTGCTCGCCTACTAGGGGTAGGAACTGTGGGAGGTCAGGAGGGAGGCCCTGCCCGACCTGAGTCACTGGGGTCTCCGCGGTGGGCAGGGCCTGGGGAAGGCATAGAGACACAGGAGACCCCTTCCCCCGCCGCATACACAATTCTGAAGATGTCTTAGGCCTTGTTGGGGCGAGACTCAGATTTAAGGGAGCCTGAGCCTGAGCCCAAACCTTCGACGGGACTCTTGACAGTGACCTTGAGCTCCGGCACTCTCTGGGCCTCAGTTTACCTGCCTCTCAAGTCCCTCAGCTCCACCCAGATGGTCCAGGTTGGTTTGCTTGAGAAGAGGAATGAGCGGTTTGGAGGGCTGGGAGGGGGTGACACAGGAAGGTCCCCAGCAAGACCCCAGGCCCAGACGTGCCCCTCCCGGAGGTGCCCTGGCTGAGAGCACGGGACGTCCTCTCTTCCTGGCCCAGGGCTGCGCCACCTGCCAGCCCACCCCGGGCACCTGGCCCTCTGGATCTTGTGCCCTAACCCCCCACCCCCACCCTCCTGCTTCAGCCTCACTGGGGAAGGGTGGGGACAGGAAAGGACAAGAACCCTGGGCCCCCATGTCAGAGATGGGGGCGCGACGGACTCAGGACCCAGGACAAGTAATGTGGCCACGTCCAGCCTTGCTGCCCAGAAGGCTCCCGAGGACAGTGCCCCTTCTCTCTGCAGTCCCCAGTCCTGGAGGGCAGCAGAAAGGGGAGGCTGGCTTTCACGCAAGTCTCCAGAGCCCTCTCCCTCTTTTCGTTCAGTTCCCCTCAGCAGGATTCATGTCCATCCCATTTGGATCCTGAGGTTCAGGACTAGACTCTTCCTTCCTCAGAGCCCCCGCTCCTGTCTCCGAGGCCCAGTGCACACTGCGTACAGCAGGTACTTAATGTCCACTTAATGAGGGAGGAGTGGAGCAGCCAAGATGGGGCGCTGCATCTCTAAGCCCCTCTAGTGTAAGAGCCCACAGTGACCAGTGGCTGCAGCCCCCCGGGAGAGCTTCCTTCCTTCCGGGAGTTGCCCTTGCAGACTTGTTTAAACCCTCCTCAGGGGCAGAAGGAGGGGAGGTGGTTGCTGAGAACAGGATGGGAGCTCAGGAGGCATGGGGATGAGAACCCTAAAGAGAGGGAGGAAGCATTGCTCACTCCCTTGTCTTGGGTGTGGGGACAGGTGTCTGTCTGTGACCCCTTTGGTGGGCCATCTCCCCTGACCCACCCAGGACCCAGTCCCCAGACTTGGGGCTTGGGAAGCAGCTGGGGAGGTGGGGTCTGTCCTCCTGAAGCCAGAGGCACGGTGCCCCGTCCCCCTTCACTCACCCAGGCCTGTCCCCTGCTGGAGGCAGGTCAACAGCAGCCACAGTGGCACCGGCAGCCGATACTGTCCCCCACCGAGCCCCATGGCCAGGCCAAGTGTCTGACCGTCCGTCTGTCTGCAGCGTCCCAGAGCTTCCGCTGTGCGGTCTGCCGGGGGACTGGAGAGCTTGCCTCCAGGTACCTCCTGAAGCTCCTCCCAGGTGCCCCCTCTTCCCAAACAACTGGTCGGACAGGTTTGGGGGCAGAATCCACTGGCCCTACGGATTTGGCATCCCAGGGAGGGGTCTGAAGAGAACAATCAGGCACCGCTGCCTGGACAAGCCCGTGGATGCTCCCACCCCCCACTCCAGGAGGCCCTGGCCAGGGAGGGGCCAAGGAAGGCGGTGGTAGCTCCGGGGTCCCCATGGCCCCCGTGACAGTCCTGCCTACCTGGCACCTGGGGCCCCCCACAGTCACCCTGTGCTGAAGGGAGTTACCCTCACTTTCTAGTCGGAAGGAGCATGGAGCCGAAGGGGCTTGTCCAAGATCACCGGCCGGGTGGGGCACAGCCTGGATTAGCCGGTCACACCCAAAGGCAAGTTTAGGGCACTCCCTGCTGTCCCCCTGCAGCCTGGGCCCTGGAGGGGGGAGCTCCCCGACATCGCCCTGCCTCCTCTCCTTATCCAGCTGCATCCGGCCGGAGCCACCCTCCTAAAACTCAGACTCCTTCGGGGACAAGGAAACAACTTTTAGAAAACAACTTTTAAAAAAATTATAAATATTCTCTGGTTATTATGATGCATTTACATGCTATTTGATTGCCAGCCCACGTACACTATTCCCCCCCCCCAAAAGGACTTAAACTGTGCCAACTGTTTATGACAGTGACCTCCAAAAGGGGTAAATACTCCTGCCAACTATGGAACTGCCTGGTAGGCTTTTCGTGACCAACTCTTTACCGGGACATGTTGGCAGAGAGTTTCAGATTTTTCAAGATTGGAAATCACTGTATTTCCTTCATGATTGACTCGGCCCCAAGGGAACTGGGGGCCGAAGCCAGAACAAAAGCTCAGGGAAATCACCGGATTCTACTCCTGAAATCATTAGTGCTGTGTGCTAACTAACTTGGATGCGAATTTAAAAGTAAGTAAGTAAATAAATAAATGGGGGAAACCCCCCCCCCCCAAAAAAAAAACAACAAAGCTCAGGGAAGGGAAATGAGGTCAGGGGGAGTCTGGGGGTGTGCGTGGGGGGAGCCTCCTCCGGGAGGACCCTGCTACCTTGCAGTACCCAGAAGCCTCCTGTCCTACCTACCTCAGGGGCCAGTACTATTAGACATGTGCTCTGGTCGGGCTTGGTGCCCCCCCAAATGCTCCCCTAACACACTCTCCCCCTGGCACACGTCTCCATTTCCCAATCACTGTAATGTCATGCGCTGTCACCTCAAGGGCATCCTTGCACACACCTGTGCCCTGCTCCTGCTGACAGCCCGTGGAGGCGGGCACTGGCCCTCCCGTACCCGCGGGGTGTGGAGGGGAGAAGGGTGGGGGCCAACCAGAGGGTCTGGGCTTTCTTTAACTCCCCAGCTTTTTTTTTTTTTTCTAAGAGAGAGAGAGCGAGTGGAAGGGAGATAGGCAGAGGGAGAGAGAGAGAATCTTAAGCAGGCGCCACGCCCAGCACAGAATCCGACGAGGGGATCCATCCCATGACCCTGGGATCGTGACCTGAGCGGAAATTAAGAGTCAGACGCTCAACCGGCTGAGCCCTCCGGGCGCCCCTCCCCAGCTCTTTATTATAGAAATGGTCACACCTTTAGGACAGTTGAAAATATATAGTACAGTGAATGCCCATTCATAGAGCCTCCACCTGCATTCACAACTGTGAGCGTTTGGCTGTATTTGCCCTCCACCTTCTCCCTACCAGATATACGAGTATATATACGCTATGTTACTCTCTATGTACCTCTGTACCTTTACATACTTATTGTGTATATAATATATATACTTATATATAATAAGTTCTCTCTTCCTTTTTTTTTTTTTTTTGAGAGAAAGAGAGAGAGAGTGTGCAAGTATGAGCAGGGGAGGGGCAGAGGGAGAGAGAATCTCAAGCAGGCTCCATGTCCTGCGCAGAGCCCAATGTGGGGCTCGAGCCCATGACTCCGGGATCATGACCTGAGCCGAAATCAAGAGTCAGATGCTTAACTGACTGAGCCACCCAGATGCCCCTTCTCTCTCTCTCTCTCTCTTTTTGTTTTTTATGAAGCTCTATGCTCATGGGGCTTGAACTCATGACCCTGAGATCAGGACTTGCACGTTCCCACCCAGTGAGTCAGTTAAGTGCCCCAACATGTTTTCATATATTACGTACTTTTATACAATACATATTAATAAATATACGTATTTACTTTTTTTCTCCTCTACCTTTGGAAGGCGTTGAGAGCGAACATCACAACAGGTGGAGAGCTCGCTTCTTTCTGAAGACACGTTCCTGCTCATCGACTCATCTCCACAGCTCCTCTAGAAGTGAGTAGGGCAGGCATTATGACTAATCTCATTACACAGACGAGAAAACAGAGCCCAACCTTCCTGCAGTGGCCTCTCGAGCTGGAGATCGGCCCCAGGTTGGTCATACTCAGGACTCTCTCCCTGTGGATCTGTGTGGCATTGGGGGCCAGCGGGAACACTGATGTTTCCCGTCTCAGTTCGTGGCCCACGCTGATTACTGCTCTGCACAAGGCCCTGAGTTTACTTTTGTATTTTCCCTCTTTGTGCCTGCGTCCCTCTGTCTCCTGCCCCCACCCCCAGGACCCCCACTGTCCTCGGTTTGCTGTGTGTCCAGGATCACTTACCTGTGTCTGCCGTGAGATATACTGTGGTCCGGTACCTGGCATGAGGCCCCTAAAGGGGTATCTTTGTTCCCTCAAAGTGCGCCACAGTAGTAAAGACAAAAATAGTGTTTTTGTTTTTCATAACAAGCCCCTTTCTTTAAAAAAATAATTTATTTTACTTATTTTGACAGAGAGAGAGAGAGAGAGAGAGAGCACAGCAGGGGCAGAGGGAGAGGGAGAGAGAGAATCCCAAGTAGGCTCTGCACTGTCAGCACAGAGCCCGATGTGAGGTTTGAACTCATGAACTGTGAGATCATGACCTAAACCGAAATCAAGAGTAGGACGCTTAACCCACTGAGCTACCCAGGCACCCCAATAACAAGCCCCTTTCCACCTGAGTTTATGTTAATGAGGTGACATTTGGAAGGCCCCTAGATAACCCCAGGATGGGCACTGGTGGCCAAGGACACCAGCACGAAGAGAGGATTGGAATTTTCTGCCCCAACCCCCTACTTCCCCAGTGGCCAGTGGCTTAATCAATTATTCCTACATCAAGCCTCCATAAAAACCCCAAAACTGAAAAATACTGAAAAAAAAATCAGTCCTTTCCCTTTGTTGTCATGTACCACAGACATAGGCAATTCTCAGTGTCCCCTCTCAGCTTGACCCAGGACAAGCTCCCATAATGTACCAGCGGTATCCACACCCACAGCCCACTTGGGGTGCCGTTGGCTTAGTTTGTCCTGCCAAGGACAAGGTACGAGGGCTCCTCCCCAGACTCACCGGCCTCCAGGGGTTCTCCCCAGTCCTGCAAGATTCATCGTGGGGCTGCTGCAGGTGACAGGCTCAGCCAGGCTGGGGGATGCTCTCTGATGTTGGTTGGTGAGCTGATGGCCGGCCCCCACTCGGGCACAACTGGATATCACCAGGGGAAGCAGCTCCCAGCAGTGTGTCACTATGTGGCAGAAATGATGATAGTGACAAGGAGGACTGGGGCAGATCCAAGGCCAGAGACACCACCTCCACCCACTGCCATTTTTCTAGCCTGGGTCAGCCCTGGGACTTTGGCACAAGCTCAAGGAGGGAAGAAAAGCCACACAAAGTGATCACTATGGGACCCACAGCCCCAGAGAGTGGACACCAGGAAGCAGAGTTGCTATGATTCAGAAAACAAAGAAGTCTGATGCATCCTATATCTCAAAGGTTACAGACATTCATGCCTGACTCGTGTGTGTGTGTGTGTGTGTGTGTGTGTGTGTGTGTGTGTGTGTTCAGGTCAGCTCCTGGACTTCCTGATTCATTTCTTGGACCAATCTTCTTTTTTTTTAAATTATTTTTTATTAAATTAAAAAAAAAATGTTTATTTATTGAGACAGACATTGCGTGAGCGTGGCAGGGGTTGAGAGAGGAAGACACAGAATCTGAAGTAGATTCTAGGCTCTGAACTGTCAGCACAGAGCCTGATGCAAGGCTTGAACTCGTGAACCGCAGGATCACGACCTGAGCTGAAGTCGGACACTTAACTGAGCCACCCAGGCGCCCCTCTTGGACCAATCTTCTATTTGGGTATCAGTATCAGGCCATTTTAGTCTTTGTAACTTTGCCTTACGTTCTACTCGACCACAGTACTAACTGGCTGTACCGTTATTTGACGAATGCTTCTTCTCTTCGTTAACAGTGACTCCTGGAGTGCAGTGATTGGGTCTGTTTGGTTCCCCCACTGTGTCCCCATTGCTGAGCCCAGGGTCCAGCACAATATCTATGCTCAGTAATTATTTTGACTGCTAATATGGCCACCTCCCTGTTCCATGGATCTGGCCAGGTGGCCAGCGGTTACCATCTTGTTTTACAGCATCAGTCTGACAACTAGAATGTTGTGGCTTCTGGGTAGAGGCCAGCTTCTCTGTTGGATCCCCTCTTCCTGGTCCAGATGTCCCCAGCTCCAGTGAGTCCCTGTGTGAAGGGAAGGGGCCCACGATGCCCAGAGGGACTGGGTGGGGCCCATGCCAAGCCCCAGGGAATAGTCTATTCCCAAGGACCTACCTTGCCTTGTACCTTTGGGGTGACTCATGTGATGAGGTGTGGCTTCCACCCGCCCCCAAACACAGGGCCACCAGAGAAATGCTCCCAAAGGCCCACCCCAGCCCCATGTCCCCAGGCAGGGCCCCAGCTCCATGGCAACCATCACAGCCTGTCCCGAGGAGAGGCTCGGGCACCTCCAGGGGCAGCCTGGGACTTTGTGCAGGGAGGGGAAGTACAGGTGACCCAGTCCCTTCCCCCTGCACCAGCTTAGCCTAGGGGCCACTCACCAAATGCTGACAGAGACCCAGCGGTGCTAATCCCAAGGGGGACAGACGCCCACGGTTCATTGAGCCCACCGTGATCCTTAATCTTTCCACGGCACAGTGATCCAGCCCCTTCCAGTTCTGCTGGTTCATCCCTCGAGACAGGCAGCTCACCACTTCCCTGGTCTAGTGATAGCATCGGACACCTGGAATCATAAAGCAGAAAGCTCTTTCAATAGGGGGGTGCCTCCTTTGAGTGAAATTGCACAACTTTGGGGCCAAGAGGCAAGCAAGCCTGGCTCACTCTTGATCCACCGAAGCCTGGGGTAGGTGGGCTTACATCTCCCCCCATGGGACACAGGGCCGCTGGAGGTCAGGAAACTGAGGCCTTTTTACTTTCTATGTCCAGTGCAGCTGCCACACTGTTTATTGAAGGGTTACTGTGTGCCAGGACCCCTGCGGGCACAGGTCATGGGCAGAAGCTCTAGAGGAGAAGTGTGGGTTGGGAAAAGAGTGGGTACTTTATTTTTATTTTATTAAAATCTTTTTTTAAATGTTTATATTTGAGAGAGACAGAGACAGAGTGTGAGAAGCGGAGGGGTGGAGGGAGAGAGAAACAGAGAGAGAGAGAGAGAGAGAGAGAGAGAGAGAGAGAGAGAGAATCTGAAGCAGGCTCCAGGCTCTGAGCTGTCAGCACTGAGCCCAACGCAGGGCTCAAACTCACAAACCGTGAGATCGTGACCTGAGCCAGAATCAAGAGCCAGACACTCAACTGACTGAGCCACCCAGGCGCTCCAGGGTGGGTAATTTATTCACTGATCCCCCCAATAGGCCGTCAGAGAGCCCAGCAGCTCTGCCCACAGAGGACCCCACTTGAAGAGGCACCCGGAGATGTCTGATGAGCTGAGCCCCCTCAGCCCCCAAACCCTCCCGCCCACCCCTCCTCACCCCAGCCCATGGCACCCTCTACCCTGGGGGCTCTCCCACTGCCCCAGCCCCATGGAGTTGGGGCTCAGACAAGGACAGGGTTCCAGTCACAGGGATCGGAGGGCAAAGTTGAGCCTGGAGATTCCATTAAAAACATGCGGTGGAGGGGCTTTGGGCCACCTCCACTGGGTGGGGAGGGGAGCAGAGGGACCAGGGCTGGGGACCAGGAGGGAGAGGCCAGGATGACTAATGAGGCATTCCTCTCTGTCCCTCCGGGAGAAAAGTCACGGAGAAGAGTGGTTGTCAAGGGCAACACATTCTTTTCCTGTGGGTAACTCTAGCTTGTGTCATCCACAGGGAGTGGGGTTTGGGGAGGCCAGGACTGGAGGGTCTGAGCCGGGAAGCTTGGAGGTCTTCGCTCATTTTACAGAGGGAAACTGAGGCCAGGGGAGGAGGGCGGGGTTGCCTGGTGGGGCAAACGAGGTATAAAGGAGAATGCCAGGCTCCCGTCTCGTTCCTGGGGCTCTCTCTCAGGAGTCAGGGGTGTCCAGGCTAGGACAGGTGCGGGGGATGGTAGGGGAGGACGAGGACACGGCTGTAGTGGCCTCTGGCTTCTGTATGGGGAGGGAAGGGGAAGGCCACCCAGAGAGCTGGGTCAGGGGTTGTGAGCAGATCCTGGCCTACACCCATCCAAGTCCATTGTGAAGGCCTCGGCCTGCCTAGTGCACCCCCCAAGCCCCGTCCTACTTCCGAGCCTCTATGCACAAAAGCCTCTGCTCACCTGTTGGCTGGACGTTAAACGTCTCCCCCTGACCCCTACTCCTTGCGCTCCAGCTCCGTGACTACTCCTGCCCACTCTGCTGTAATGGTGGGTGGATTAGCCTACTCGGCGGCCACAGCAAAAAGCCACAGATCAGGGTGCTTAAGCATCATCAAAAAACAAAACAAAACAAAAAAAAAAACAAGCATCATCAGGGTGCCTGGCTGGCTCAGTCATTAGAACACGCGATTCTTGGGGCTTTGGGTGGCTCAGTTAAGCATCCGACTTCGGCTCCAGTCATGATCTTGTGGTCTGTGAGTTCGAGCCCAGCGTCGGGCTCTGTGCTGACAGCTCGGAGCCTGGAGCCTGCTTCAGATTCCGTGTCTCCCTCTCTCTCTGCCCCTTCCCTGCTTGCACTCTGTCTCTGTCTCTCTCAAAAATAAATAGACATTAAAAAAGAAAAAAAAAAAAGTAACATGTGATTCTTGATCTGGGGGTCTCGTGATGTCAAGCCGCATAGAGCCTACTTAAAAACAAAAACAAAAACCAAGCATCTATTTTGTCACAGTTCTGGAGGCTGGAAGTCAAGATCAAGTCCACTGGTTGGTTTCTTCTGAGACCTCTGTCCTTGGCGGGCGGACGGCTGTCCTCTGGTCACGTGGTCTTTGCTCTGCGCTGCATCCCTGGTGACTGCTTGTCCTAATCTTTTATAAAGACACCAGTCAGACTGGATTGCACCCCACCCTAAAGGCCTTACTTGATTACCTCTTTAACTGAATTCCATCTTAAAGACCCCATCTCCAGATACCCTACATTCCGAGGCACTAAGGGTTAGGGCTTCAACATGCGAATTTTGAGAGACACAATTCCATCCCACCCACAATTCCCCTGTGGGTGGGACACTCTCTAAGGACAGGGACGGGATCTGAGGCCTCTGTAAGGACCGGAGGGTCTCTGGGCCGGGCCAGGCCGGGCCGGGCCGGGCCCCAGGTGTGTTGTCCTACCCCGAAGTGGGTGCCCGGCAACGGCCCCCTCTTCCCGCTCCCCTTGGAGGAGCGGGTGGGGGGAGGCAGGCCGCAGAGTGAGGGGTGAGGGCTGTGTCCCTATGCTTCTGTTTCATGGGGACCCCCGCCCAAGAACATGGTGCCTTCCGCCTCAGGCCAGGCATCTTCCAGGGCTGCTGGGGGCAGGGACAGAGAGGGCTCCAGGGAGCCAGTGGGCTGGGCTGCCGGGGGTCAGCTGCCCAGCCGCGTGGCCAGGAGCTGGCTGTGCCCGGTCTGTGCTCCAGGCCTTCCTCCGGACAGCGGGGAGGGACGAGCCCCCAAAGCTTTCTTGTGTCCCCATCCTGGGGAGGGGGGAGGGGTCTCTGGGGCGGTGGCAAAGAAAGGTCAAAGTAACAGCTCTTCCTCTGGAATAACAAAAGGTATCTCAGAGAAAAATAGAAAAAGTCATTAATTGAACATCTACACATCAGACCCCTTGAACCATCGCATCTCCCTGCCCCTCACAGCAGCCCTGGGTGACGAGAATGACTGACCCATTGTACAGACGTGAACACTAAGGCTCGCAGGCGAGGTGTAACAAGTCCAAGGGCTCGACCCTGGAGAGGTCCTTGCTCTTCCCCACACTGGCCCTGGGGGTCTTCCTAGAAGGCAGACAGTCACAGAGCCCGGCAAAGCTCTGAATTTAGTGAAACTGGGCCCGGCCACCTTCTGGAGGGATAGATGGCTGCCATTCTGACTGTCTAGCTCCTGCCACACCCTTCTTATGGCTGGGACATTGCCTTCCTGCTACGTGCACTCCCAGAGCCAGCACTGGCCACAGGACGTCTTCGTGAGAATCACACAAAGGTGTCCCTTCTCAAGGACGCGGCCCCTCACCCACAGCAGGTACGACACTGCACAGGCCCACTTCTGCTGGGGGCTTGAGTCTGCGCTCCTACTGTAGCTGCAGGAGAGTGTGACTTTCCAGCCTCCCATGCAGCTAGGGTGCCCACCAGTCATGCACCCACACCAGACAAAGAAGTGACCGCCATGCCCAGCTTCCAGAGGCAACCAGGCCAGAAGCTCGCATGGTGGGACCCAAGGAATGCAGCTTTGTTCTGCACTGGGATTCCTGATGTGGTCTCCAGCCCTGGCTCTCAGAGCTCCAGGGGCTTCCTAAGCTCTTCTAGAACATTCCTTCCCCACCGGGCTCACCAAAGTTGGTTCCTTGTTCCAGTTGCTTCCTAGTCCCAGTGTTCCACTGTTTGCGGCTGAGAGCACACTGGGGTGGGGGTTCCCGGGCCCTGTGGAGCCTGAGCCCCGCCGCCGACCGTTTCCTGGGTGTGTGAGAGAGACTCCATTTCTGGGCAGAATGCAGTTCTGCCCAGTTAAAATCGATTAAGAAGTGATTCAGCCAAATGAGAGGAGCAGTGAGTGACAGAACCCATGACAGACAAACATCAGGACTCCTGTTTTCTTTTCCCCAAAAAATGACACCAGTCACAAAGGACCATGTTTCTAGGAAATGTTCAGGAAGTAGACAAGCGGTTGCCAGGGACGAAGAGAGGCTACTGCCTCATGGGCACAGGGTGTCTTTTAGGATGATTACAATATTCTGAAGTTGGAAGTACTGATGATGAGTGGACAGGTCTACGAATATGCCAGAATTCAGCAAACTGAACACTGTAAGTAGGTATATCGCATGGTATTTGAATTCTATCTCAATGAAGCTGATTATTTTTTTGAGTTTATTTATGTATTCCGAGAGAGAGAAAGAGAGAGAGAGAGAGGGCAGGGGAGGGGCGGAGAGGGAATCCCAAGCAGACTTCATGCTGTCAGCACAGAGCCCGACGTGGGGCTCACACTCACAAACCGGGAGATCATGACCTGAGCCGAAATCAAGAATCTGACACTTAACCGACTGAGCCACCCAGGTGCCCCTGAAGCTGATATTTTTTTTTAAAAAAGAACGTGAACATATCTTTGCCTTTTATAAGGCAGTCAGTCAACAAATGTTCATTAAGCACCCACGGGGAGTCAGGCACTGTGTTAGTTCCAGGGGCACCTTGGTGAGCAAATCAGACATGGTCCCTGCCCTCCTGGAGTTCACAGTTTAGTGGGAGAGATGCAAAAGTCACCCTTTTTAATGTCTAACTACAAAATGGAAAACGTGCTGAGAAGAGAAAGAAGAGGGCTCCAGGAGAGCTGAAGGGTCAGAAAGGGCTTCCCTGCAGAAGCCACACTGGAGCTGATGAATGATCTAGAGGAGCGAGGTGGAGAAATGTCTTACACTGAGGTGGGAAAGCAAGTGCAAAGGCCCTGTGGCAGCAGGGCTAACCAGGGACCTGTGTGGCCAGAACACAGGGAATAAGGGATGGATCAATGGGGCCTCAAAACTGAGATGGTGAATCTAGACTCTGGTCTTGCAGCAGGAAGTGACTGCAAGTTGGGAGCAAAGGTGAACACCATCAGGTTCACAATCTGGTCCCTCTGGATACTGAGAGGAGGAGGGCTGTGGGGGTCAGGAACGCTGCTAGAGGCAGGAGGGGGCTGGCTGGGGGTTGCAGGGACAACGGGCAGGAATAGGTGGTTCAGAGGCACAGACGAAGTGAACCCAGGGGGTGCGAGAGAGTGCTCAGTGCCCCCCCCCCCCCGCTTGGTTTCCACCTGCTGTCATCCTGATCCTTTCGATTTCTGGTCTGATGAGTCATCTGAGAGTCATCACTCCCACAACTGCTGCTGTTTTTTTCTTTTTAACAATGAACTTGTTTTTTGCCACTGAGCCATTACCTTACACGCCAACGGATTTGGAGGCCCTCCGTCAAATATAGCCCTGGGGAAAAACTTTAAACGCTATTTAAGAAAAGATGCACCATCACATGGCTGTCACTACAGGCTCTACTCAAGGCTGTCACGATCTGGCCCGTGCAGAGCTGGGGTCCGGCTGGTAACCCTCTGGAGCGTGACTCTGGGGCAGAATGCCCCGACATGCTTCCTCAGGGCCTGTGCTGGCCATGACCAATCCTGCCGCCCTTTCTCCAAGTGGCTTCTGCGACACCCTGGCGTGCTGGTCACCACAGCCCTGGGCCAGAACACCCCCAGTCTGGCGGAGTCACAGGGTGGCCTCCCCCTGACCCAGGACAGGCTCGTAAAATATTAACGACTTGTTACCGTTCTTCTGAATGCACCCATCTGCTAAGATGGTGTCCCCAGAACCCCCTTTTCCAGAAGTCTGCTCTGAAGCAAGCTGGGGGACGGAACCACTTTCAGAACATAAAGCGCCTCCATTTTCCAGTCACACACCCCACTCCACCCCCATCAGAAACCCGAGCATGGCCTCTCCTGGGGCATCTCTCTCATCTATGAAGTCCCAGTTCCTTGGGTCACCTCCCGAATATTCTGGAATCCACCTCCTCCTCTCCAACTCCCTTTGTCTGCCCTGGTTCAGGCCTGGTTCCATTTGCCTGGAAGACCAGGCCAGTCCCCCTTGCTCTGGCCTCCTGTCTCCTAGTCCCTGCTGCCAGCCCCCCGGGGCACCATTTGTGCCATTGAGGGGAGACTGTTCACTGGTCTCCCTGACTCTCTTGCTCTCTCTTTCTCCCTCCCTCCCCTCCTACTTGACTCACTTCCATGTGCCCCTAAAGACTCCTCTCAGAAGTCACCCTTGGGAAGCCCCCTTGACCTCGGGTGGGGTCACCCCCCCCCCCCCACTCCCGCAGCCACGCTTCACCTACTGTGCTGTAGTGTCTGTTTTGGGCCCGTCTTCACAGTCAAGCCCTACATGGTCGGATGGGGCAAGCACAGCTCCTCACAGGGCTCCGGGGTGCCCTGCACACACACAGGGGACATCGCTGGGGCTGTACCTGGGATCAGCACAGGTTCCGGCACTAAGAATAAGCCACAAGAGGGCCCTGGGACACACAGGAGCTCAGGGCAATTCTTGCTGCTGCCTGATCTTCCGGCCCTGAGCTGGTTCGTTCATGTTTTCACTCAGCCAACACCAGCGGAACCCTTTCCCTCCTCGCCATACCCGAGCTGGGTGTCTGGGCCCAGAGGGCCTCTCCATCTGGTGCTGGAGCCAGGCCTGGACAGGACAGCACGAGACAGGCGCTGTTGGACACAGCTGGTGAGGGTGCGAGGCACTTGGAACGCTTAGAGGCCAAGAGGGACCTAGGTTCCACAGCAGCAGCATTTCAAAAGCGGCTGCCCAAAGCGGCTGGCTCCCATGGCCAGATGTCACCCAGGACACAGGAGCCTGAGCTCCTGACTGCATTTGAATCGGCTTCTGCCTGCACCTGGAGGTATTACGGCCGAAGGGGCTGCAAGTAGGATGGAGGATAAACCACTAGGGACCAGGGCTTCATGGGTTTTGAAAGCAAAACCTCCCTGAAGTGTTTGCCTGGGAGACAGTACTGCTAAATCCGCGGAAGCTGCATTAGCGGTGGCCTCTTGGCCCTGAAATGCAAGGATGAGTTTCCCTGGGGCCCATTAGGAGATGGGGCACCTCGAAAATGCAGTGAGGGCTGTGCGTCAAAAGGACAGGCTCGGGGCAGACCCCAGGGTGGAAGGGGTGAAACGGGGCTGGGCCCCGGGCGCAGATGCCCCTTTCCCCACACCAGCGCGGGCACCGCTAGGGGGACGGAGACCGCGTTTATTCACCTCTGAGGAGGGCGGGTACACATGGGTCACGGCCGGGCGCCGTGCAGGGGCGCTGGCACGGCGGCCTGCATGCTGGGAGCCGCGGTCCCACCGGATAAGATGGGAGATGCCCGGGGACAAGAGGGGCGTGGTGGTGGTGGGAGGGGCGGCAGTGGGCAGAGCGTGGAGGACAAGTCGCCCAGCCTCAGTTTCTCCATCTAGAAAATGGTGGCGGTTGTGTAGACTGGACGGCCCTCAAGCGAGTGCGTGACTGCTCATCCCTCTGGCTTGACCCAGATGAGGTGTGGAGCCCTGACCTCCAGAAAGTGGCGACGGCTCCTCAGCATCAGGTCACCGCTGGAACCTGCCAGTCAATTGCCTCAGGTGGGTCTGTGAATACGAGTGCGCGTGCGCGGGGCCGGACGGCTGCGGCGCACTGGCGCCACCGTGTGGCCAAAGCTGGACCCACCGGCCCTGCGAGAAGTCGGACGCTAGGGGGAAGTCTAAAGTGTGTACTGCCTGATGGTGGGGGGCTCCGGGGCCTCAGAGAGCCCATTGGGGTGAGCATCTAAGGAGCTTGAACCCGAGGGTATGTGACAATCTGACAGCCCTAACAGTAACAGGTCACATCTGGACACGTGGTCATCTCAGGTCCAGAGTGGTGAGTGAGCTCCCCAAGTTCAGGACCGGTTCCTCCTGAGGCTCCATGTCTAACACTGGCAGTGGCATACAGCAGGTGCTTAATAAATGTTGGTGGAGCGAGAATGAGTAAGCCATCTGTGTGTGCAATAGGGTTGGAAGTGGTGGAATCAGTTCTCAGACGGCCACAATGTGCCTCTACACTCTGAACTTCTGGCCACCCTCAGAAAGTACCCCTGCCCAGGGAACAATGGAGGTGCCTCTGAAGGCTTCACTGCAGCCCCAGCCACTGGAAGGTGGGACAGAGAGACAGAGGGAGGCTCGGACTTCATGCACCCAGTGATGGGCCTGGCCCAGTCCCCTGCACAGGGCAGAGCAAGGCCCCCCACTGGGCCCCTCCTGGAGCCTGGAAGCTTCTGGTCAGTGTGGCCTCTCCACATTACCTCTCACAGAGGTAGGGTTGGAAGTGGGGGCTGCATGCTGGCCTGACCATGACCCTCCCCCCAGACTTGATGCAACTTCAGTTGCCTGGAGAGGGCAGAATGGAAAAGGCAAAGGCAGGGCTGCAGGTGGTGGGACATCGGGCGGGTGGGGAGGTGCAATGGGGGAGGGGCATGTGGGCGCAGGAGCTGGGAATGCGCACTGCGTAGGTGGCCCCCAACTTCCCAGGGCCCCGCCCCAGCCCCTTCCACCAGGCTAGGGGCTGAGGCTGGGGAGGGGGTCCAGGCCAGGCTCATAGCCCACGGGCAGGGTGGCGGCCTCAGTGGGTGGGATGTGGTGGGTCATGTAGCGCTTCCCCTTGAAGGAGCCAATCCGCAGCTGCTCCGGGACTTCCTCCGGCCACCACAGGCTGGAGCTGGATGGGGAGAGGAGAGAGGAGACCAGACTGGGTCCCTGCTGTGGGGAGCCATCTGCCAAGTCAGGGCCTCCTCCCGCAGCCTCTCCCTTTCCTTCCTTCCAGAACCTGCTTCTGGCCCACCTCCTCCAGGTGGTTGCCCTGAATACCCTGGTTTCAGTTCACTGAAGCCTCCTTGGAGAGAAAACACGGCCGGGAGGAGTAAGGCCGGGGCCAAGGACACGCTGAAGGACAGGGCAGAGCGAGGTGGCCCCTTCTCTGAACCTGTCATCAGAGGAGCCTCTGGCCCACCTCCCTGCTGTCCAGGCGAGAGATACTCAGGGCGGAAATTTCCCGCACACCCCTGGAAGGGGAACCGCCAACTCAGCCGCAGTGTTCCTGGAGGGCTTTCAGGTGCTGGGACCAGTGAGAGGGAAGGGGCTCTGGGTGGAAGAGGGGCCCAGGGGGATGTCAGCACTCACAAGCGCACGGTGGACGCAGCCAGGAAGGCCAGGAGCAGGAGGCCGGCCAGAGAGGAGAGGATGGAGGCGATGACAATCATGTCACCGCTTCGCCGCCCTGGCCACGTGTCGATAGAGCCTGGGGCCTTCCCTGCACACAGCGTACGCTCAGAGGCTGCCCCTCCAGCCCAGGGCGGTCACTTCCCCCTCCAGACTCACGCTCAAGGCCTGACTGCCTCGAGTCCCAAGACAGCCCCTTGAGCCCACCCCATTTGTCCAAACCAGCGGGGCATCAGTGCCTTCCCAGGCCCAGACCACCCACCACCACCACTCCAGCCTTTTTTCTTAGTCTCACTTTCTAGGCTGTTCTTGCCAACACGCCCACCCCACTGCACTGCCCACAGTGGGCAGAACTGCAGCCGACCTCAGGACCAACCGGGTGGCCTCCTCGTTTCCTGGAGCGTGGCATTCAAGGCCTTCAGATGACAAGACCCTCCACCCCCAGCCAACACCCAGCCTCTACAGCCAGTCTCCCAGGTGCCCCTCACCCCGGGGCACTGGCCTTCCTACATGCAGTTTCCTCGGCCTGGTCCATCACCAGCCCTTTAGGGCCCCGCTGAGGGAAGTCTCCCAGAACCTGCGGCCCTGACTCTGACCCCAGCCTCTTGGTGCCCTGGCCCTTCTCCACCTGGCAGTGCTTGGCCCAGGGCTGGCTCCCCATTGGAGGGGAAGACTGTTTCTGCCCACAACTGGGCTGGGACCTGGGCACCCGAGGTTGTGTTGATGTGGATGGACACAGCTGGTGTCTCTGCCAGTGAGGCTGACCCAGTGCCTCCTCGCCCCCAGCATGAGGTTCTTTTCGGGGGATGGGCTGGACTTGGAGACTTCCTCCAGGCCCCCAGTCTCATGGCAGCAGGGGGAGGGGCCGGCTGAGCAGGACCACTGGGCAGAGGGTGACTTGTCCACAGGGGGAGACTGGAGCCAGAGCACACCCCCCCCCCCCTACGCTACCTTGGTGGAGAGTAATAGGGTCGGACCACCTGGTCTCGGCCTGGGGTGAGCCGCTGGCGTCCATCAGGAGGAACTTCACCCTGGGGAGAGGAGAAGGAGTGGGGCTCAGAGCCTGAACTGCCCTGGGCCCGGTCACCAAAGCAGCCAAGCCCCAGGCAGTTCTGGGCCGGGCTCTTGTAGGGCCTGTCAGGGCCAGCCATGGCCTGGTCCTGCTCTGAGAACCCCCCCAAGACCTCTCTGGCCACAGTGACCTCTGCCAGCAGCCCCAGTCCACCTGAGCCGTTACTCTCCAGACTCCCCATCAGGTTTAGGGGGACCCCATCACTGTCCCATACAGAGTGCCTCAGGGAGTCAGATGGGGCTGGGGGCCCCGGGCCTCGTAGAGAGCAGCTGGCCAAGTGACATCTAGAAAGCCATAGAAGTCTCCCCAGTAGGGTCAGGCACCCTAAGCAAAAGCCCAGGGAGGAGAGGGGTGTTCAAGAGCCTGGGATCACAAGGAGAGGCAGGCTGAGACCCGAGGGCACCAGAGGCCATGCAGAGGAGCTCAGGTTGTATCTTTGTGCCAGGTGGGGGGCTTGGCAGATATCTGAGCATGGAGGGGCCCAGGCAGGCTGGCGTGGAGGGCAGCCAGCTCTGGTGGCTGCTAGGAACAGGGGCAGGAGGTTAAGATGAGGCTGAGCCAGGAAGTGGGCATGGGGGGAGGTAGGAAGGCGGTTCTGTCAGGGCCGGGCCGGGGAGAGGGCAGAGGGAGGCGGTTAACGGAGGTGCCGGTCCAGCCCACACCAAGCCCCACCTTCCCTGCACCCCATGCTGGTTCTCTCAGCTGGACTTAGTCTCCCTGAGGACACCTGGTCCTGTCCTGTGGCCCAGGCGGCCCTCATCTGGACACCTGCTCTCTCACTCTGGCTCCCCCCCGTGACCCTGACAAGCCCTTGGTGCCCTGTGCCTCTGTTTCTTCACCTGTAAAAGTGAGCAATAGGCTTATTTCCTGTTCCCCTGTCTTGTACCCACTGATTGGGTCTGGACTCAGCCCTGGGCTCAGATTCCTACCAGATCTACCCCGGGGCTCGTGGCTGCAGCCCGGCAGCTCCCCACCCCTGACCCTGGGCCTGAGACCCCACCCTGCCCCCACAAGCCCTGTGGTGCCCACTTCCTCGTGGGCAGGTCTCCTGGAAAGGCCACATTCTGCCTGCCCCCCAGCTTGGATGAGCGTTGCTCCCTGACCCCCCCCCCCCACCAAGACTTGTGAAGGAGAGGAGCCTGCCGCCAGGATGGGACCCTGGGGAGAGGCTAGGGAGGGCAGCCCTGTTCCCCCAGACCCCTTCTCCCCCAGTACAGGCCCTGTCCCAGGGTCCAGGCAGAATGACTCACCTGTAAGGTCCAGGGCTGGGGAGGGGGGTGTTGCAGAAGGGTGGCTCACAGAGGTCAGCAAGGCAGCCAGGGTCATTGCCCACCCGAAGCAGGGGGATGCCCCTGCCGCCCCGCACGGGGTCCTCACAGGGCAGCTGGTCCAGGGACAGGGGCAGCGTCATATAGTGGCCATCAGTCAGCAGCCGTGGGAAGGCTGGGATCTCAGCCAGCGTCTGTGGGTTCCGGAAGTCCCTGGAGGCTGCAGGAGAAAGGGACAGACGGATGGGGCTAGAGGGCATAGCCCCAGGGTGGGTCCGAGGCCTCCCACCCTGGCTGTCCATGCCTTTGGGCCCAGAGGCTCCCTCCAGACACAAATCAGGTCACTTTGTTACCCTCCCGGAGCCCCCCAGGATAAAGCCCCATGCCCAGTCCGCCTCCCTGCAGCTCTCCTCAGCCCCAGACCCGCACCATGACGCACCGTTGCTGAAGGCCACCACCAGCCAGATGGTGTTGGCAACAGCGGCATGCCCATCCAGGACACAGCGTGGCTGCTCCAGGGAGAACGTGGTGGCTGTGACCTTCCCTTCCAGGTCCCAGGCTGTTATCTGCGGCGTGTAGGGGATCAGCTCTGTAGTCACACAGATAAGCATGAGTGTCCTGGGGCCTGCCTTCCCTGGGGCTGCCTTTCCCAGTTGGAGGGGTGGGCTCCCAGGGTCTGTGAATTCATCCCAGGATCCCCACTCACCCAGGCTCATACAGGGCGGGGGCCAGACCAGCGCCCCCATGAGGAGGAGAGACAGCAATGGGCCAGGCTGCCTCTGGGAGAGCCCCATGATGGCTGCCCAAGCCAGGGCTTCTTCCACATCCACAGCCCAGGGCGATCTGGCCACCTCCTGCTGCACCCCCTCCCCCAACACCTTGACCCTGGAGGAGCTGGTTAGTCAGGCTTCCAGGCCGGCCGGCCGAGGGCTGGAAAGACCTGAAAATGTAAATGTACCCCACCCCTCCCACTGGCCCAGCCTACCATGAGGAGGGAGCTAGGCAGGGCTGCAGGGTGGGGCCGGCCAGTGCCAGGCCCCACTGCCGGGAAGGAGGCGGATGCCACCGGCCCCCCCAGATGCCAGCCAGGAGGCCAGAGACTCCCATGTCTGAACAGGGGTCCCACCCAGCCTCCCAGCCCTGGAGAGGACCCAGTCTCTGGAAACATGGGCTCAGGGCCACATGCCTGAGATTCCCACACCCCGGGTGCCAGGAGCCTCCCTCTGGCCTTCCATCCCCACCCAGGGAGTGGGGAACAGAGCAGAGGTCCCGACCTGTCCAGCTCCAGCCCCACCACAGCCCCCCTGGTCCTGCTGCCATCTCTGCGCCCTGCCCTCCCTCCACAAGGCCACATTCTTGTCTGAAGGAAGAATCTGGAGCCAGACGAAGGACCTCTGACAGCTGACAAGCCTCCACTTACTTTACTCCCTTTGGCTCTATTTTTTTTTAATTAAGACATAATTCAAAAGAAGATAGAATTCACACAGTATAAAATTCATCCTTTTAAGGCGTACAGCTCAGTGGGTTTTCACAAGGTTGTGCAAGCATCACCCAGGTCAGCACATTTGCAACACCCCAAGAGGACAGTCTGTACCCATTGAAAGTCACTCCCCATTCCCTGCTCCCCTGGCAACCTCGCACCCACTCTCTGCCTCTACAGACTTGCCTGTGCCGGACATTTCACAGCAACGGAATCACACACGTGGCATCTTGCGTCTGGTTTCTGTCACCTAGCATCCTGTTGTCCAGGTTCGTCCACGCAATAGCACGAGGCGGGAGTTCGTTTTTCTCAGGGCTGCGGAACTTTCATCCCACCGGATGGAAACCAGGCATTTTATTCACCGGCTCCTCCGCTGACACCCATTCCCGCTGTTTGGCTTCAGTAAGTAAGGCTGTCATGCGCGCTCATGCCCAAGTTTTGTGTGGACCTGTTTTCCGTTCTCGGATACACACCTGGGGTGGAATTGCTGAGTCATAGGGTAACTGCTTTTTTTTTTTTTTTTTTTTAATATTTTATTTGTAAGTAATCTCTACCCCTGATGTGGGGCTCGAACTCGCGACCCCGAGATCTAGCGTTGCATGCTTTGCCAACTGGGCGAGCCAAGTGCCACAAGACACTCAAACTTTTAGATGGAAGAAAATGCTGTAATATATAATACACTCAGCTTTAAACCAACACATCATGAAATAGAACTTAATTTTTTTTCTTACGGAGAAAAGGACCTCAAGGAGGCAAAAGTATCCCTGGCCCACTCAGGATGTGCCACCCTCCCCGCCGGGGCCCTGCAGCCCCAGGCCCCAATCACCGCCCCCAGGCAGACAGCAAGCTGGGGTATTTGATGTTCCTAAGAGGGCTGGGAAGAATTAGGACTTCAAGGATGACGTCAAACCAATCCTGGCCCAATTCCAGCCCCAGCTCTACGCCCTACTATGAGCCTGCGACCTGGGGCGGGTCACTGCATCCATGACCGTTTCCTCATCCGTAACAGGGAAGACAGCAGCACCAGCCACATGTGAGTGGCGCTTTACTGCGGGAGTGAATGGGACGATGGGCCTGGCGGAGCTGCTGGACCACACACGGCGAGAACTAGAGTCGGGGATGGGGAAGCAGCAAGGTCAGTGCTCAGGCTCTTGGGCCCTTTCTGCGGCCTCAGTTTCGTCACTGGGGAAAATGTGTCGGACGGGCAGCGTGTGAGCTCCCTCCTGCCCTGATGCAGCAGGGCACGTATGTGTGTGCTGCCTTCTCACATCAGCGCGCACACACACACACACACACACACACACACACACACACACAAAAAACACCTCTCCACCAAAAACACACCAGGGCCTGCTGACTTTGGCTATAGGGCATTTATTGCAAACAGAACATCTGAGGTATGAGAAGCTGACCCAGAACCCACGCCTGCCCTGGCTACGATGGGGGACGGGGCAGTCTCGCCTCACCCCACGCCAGGCCCCCGGCACTACGGCCCTGAAGCAGCCCGCCAGCGGCAGAGGGCCCCACGCACTGAGGTAGCTGCATCTTAAGCCCCCACGAGTACAACTCCCCAGGCCTGCCTGATTCGCCTGTAGATCTGAGCCTGGAGGGGAGGATGGGGGCAAAAGGCGGGCCCCCACAAACCTCGCAGCCTCTGAGGAAAGGCACCTTCCCGCCTGCCCATCCCGGGGCAGCCCAGCCGGCAGCAGGGGGAGAGGGCAGCTGGCTGCCAGAGGCAGGCGCGGCAGGGTGGGGATGGGGCCGGCCAGGCCCGGCTCACTGCTGCTCCAGGCAGTCCTCGGTCACCCCCTGGGCGGCCAGCTCGGCCAGCACATTCTGCAGGTAGTTGGGGTCGGGGTAGCCATGGCCTGTCACATTACGGTCCATCTCTGTCTTGTGGTGGATCTCGTTCCACACCACTGTGTCGGTCTCTCCCGTGGTGCTGGATGTCCCTACCGTGAAGATCAGTCGCCTCTTCCAGGCCACTTTCAGCAGCTCCAGGACCTGCCCTCGAGGAAAGGGGGGAGGGGAAAGGAGGGAGGGCCTGGTGAACAAGTGCAAACCTGGGCACGAGTTTTTCACTCTGGAGCGGTGGGTGGCCAGGTGACAGGGTGAGAGCATCTGCGGCTCCCCCTCCTTCCCTGGTCTGATCTCCCCAGCAGTGAGGGCCAGTACGGCAGGAGCAGCCACCCACCAAATGCCAGCTGCGGGGTGGGGCACACTGAGGGACGAGGCTCTCTGTCCCTTTGGCCTTTACTGCGAGCCACTGGCAGGCTGAGGTTGGGCTGCTCTCCCAAGTGATCACATCCACAGTTCCGGGCTGGGGCCCCATCTGTCGGGATCCTCAGCCTCCAGCCCCAGTCTTGACCACCGCCCCCACCCCCCGGAACTCCATATGCTGACCTGACCGCCCAGGAGGACCCCCCACCTCAGAGGGCGCCGCCATCCACTGCTCTGCTGCCGCTCAAGCCACACCCGGGGCCAGGCTAACTCTGCCCTACTTCCAAGTCATCCTCTCCCCAGGCCAGGCTCACAGCAGCCAGAGGGCGCCTGATGCCTCACTGCCACACACACACACACACACACACACACACACACACACACACTCTCTCTCTCTCTCTCTCTCTCTCTCTCTCTCTCTCTCTCTTCTCTCCCTCTCTCTCTCTGGGATCTGATCCTCCCCAGACGCCTCACACCCTCCAGCCCAGCCCACCTCTGCGACTCTCAAAGCTGCCACTCAAGCTGCTCGTCTGACCAGAATGCTCTCCTGGGTTGTAATGCAGAGGTGGCTTGCAGGCCATCACGGTCACCCAGTCCTGTTCCCCTGTCCCCACTCTGCCCAACGCGTCACACTAGCCTAACTTAAGAGCAGGTGACCTGGCCAGAGAGGTTGCTAGAAGTGGCCTCCCCTCCCTGCTGGTCGTCTCTCCTGGTCGAGGATGCCTCACGGATAGCAGGCAGTCCCGGGAAGGAGTGGCCAGCACCCCAGCCAGCCCCAGAAGAAGGTGAACAGGGCAGAGCAGGTATGGCCACCAAGCTGGGCCCTCCCCATCCCACCTGCTCGAACAGCCCACGAGCATTGAGGCCAAGGCCTGCCCGCAGAGGGCGGGGGGTGCCACAGGGTGGTGGGGCCTTACCTTGCGGCCCTGGGCATTGTCCGGAAGGTAGCACTGACGGGGAAAGCCCCTGGCGGTGAATGGTTTCCCGGGATTGGGGTGCTCTGGGCCCTGCAGGAGGAACACAGACACAAGGAGGCGGGGCACCCTGAGAGGGGCCCAGCAGCTGCAGAGGCCCTCGCAGCCCGGCCCGCCCTTCACCTCCCTAGCCAGAGCTTTGTCTGCACTCAAGTGACCAAACAGATCGCTGTCTCAAATCTTGCCCCTCAGAGACCCAACATGATGTGGCCTGCCTCCGGCGACCACCTTCCCTGACCCCACGCCATTCGGCTTGGCATCACACACTCCTGCAAATGTCCTGATGAGACTGGAATTCATCAAAGGCTGGGGCTCCCATTCCGCTGGGCACTGGGCTCTTTGGCCTAGAAGGCCAGGCCTCCCTTCCTGACGCCCTCGCTCCTTGCTCGAGATGGTGCCACGGCGGGGCCGGAGACAGTGGCAGCAAACTGGACCGAAGGGTGGGCGGCTGGAACAGTGAGGGATCCTTGCCCGTACCCTCTGCCACTCAGAGACACGCCACATCTACGCCACGTATACTCCACACTCCCCTCCTGCTCTGTGGTTCTGGGGCTGTCTGGAATGTTTTTAAAATTCACTACAACCCACTGAGAAGAAATGGAGGGAAACCAGGGAAAAGCATATGGTTAAACGAAAGAGGGACTCTCCATCTGTCACAGACAGGCCACCTGGGTCCTGGCCTCCACAGCCCTGTATCTTCCCCACCCGCCACCAGCTCTGAGGTCAGTCTTGGCCCAAGCAGGAGGCCTAAGGGTCCAGGGCTCCTGTCTGGGTCTCTACTGCGACCTTCTGCTCGGGCTCCTGTCTCGCTCTTGACATCAGACCCAGCCCTGCCACAGGCCTGGATCTGGCCACCGAGCTGGTCTCTCAAGGACAGTCCTCAGTGTTGGCACCTCCCTGCCCTCTGGGTTCTTCCACTATCCAGACCTTCAACACAAGTGTTCTTCCTGCTTATACACTTGGCCTCCCGCCCAGCACAAGTCTAGCCAGGATGTCTCTGCCTCCAGGATGCCCTCCCTGCGTCAGGAAAGGGCTGGAGGCCATCTCTTTGCTTCCACAGCCCTAAGAGCTTGTTCCACCTCCAGACACCAGTGCCCCCGGTTCCTGGGAGCCTGAACTTGGGAAGCCCGGGCATCCTGAGTGCCTGGGGTAGGGGGCCGGGGGGGGCGGGGAGGGAAGGCAGACTACAGGGAGAGGGGCAGGGTAGGAAGAAGTGTGCCCCAGAGCGAGAGGGACCGAGTCCAGAACGGTCTGAGGAGGCTCCTCCTGTGCTGGGGCCCCTTACCTGGATGCCGTGAGGAATGTTGTAAACTATAAGTATCGTCCCACAGTCCTCATGGCCAGGGAGGGACACCTGGAACTTGAACACCTCCATCTTTCCCTGGGGCTGGGTCCCGGTTTTCTCTCCGTAGATGGTTTTGCAGGAAGGACACTGCAAACTCCCGTCCTGAGGCAGAGCAGAGCACCTAGTCTCAGCCGGTGCCGAGAGAGCACCCAGGCACGCTGTCTGGCTGTCGAGGTGGGGAAGAGCCCACAGGGGCTCAGCTCGGCCCGCTGTCACACAGCAGGTCCCTCCTTGCACAGAAACCCAATCCTGAGAGCGTCCCTGTGAAGATGTCCTACACCAGAAACTCCTCAAGCCATTTCCATCCAAGGGGTGAGGTACCAGGAGGCGAGCATCAAGTAGGAAAATCAGGTTTATGAGCAAAAGTCTCCACGGTCTAACATGTTTAAAATCAAACAAAAAAACCCCGTGACCTCTCAACTGACTGTGCTGGCACCCTGGCTGGTACAGGGGTGGCACAGCGATCTGCAGAGAGGCCAAGCCGGGCCCGAAGGTCTGCCATGTGACTCAGTTCTCTCTGTCCTCCCAACCTGTCCATTCCGGCTGAACTCCACTGAAGGGAAGCAGCCAAGTATCACCTGTCACCCTCGGCACCCCCGGCGGCCAACCCCTATCCTGCTGTGAGGCCAAGGCCTACAGACATCTTAAGGTCGCCTCTGAGTGCCCTGGGGCTCACACGGCAGCAGGAGTCACCAGCTCAGATGCGACAGGACTGGGACAGGACTATGGGCAGGTTGCCCCGACCCCCACCCTGGGGTCAGACGTGTGGGCACCTTGTTCCCATTGCAGTACATGGCCAGCAGGCAGAGCAGGTGGAAGGCATGGCTGCACTTGACGAGGCGGCCCACGGCCACTGGCCCAATGGTCTTGCTGTCGGTCACATCGCTGTACCCGGACACCACGGACAGTTTCTCCATACAGATGAT